ATAGTGACAACCTGTCTCAAAAAAATAAAAAATAAATTTTATTCAAACTCATATTCAGTGCAGATATAGCAGAATAGCAAGAGCTTTCTAAACCTCTATGGAGTCACCAATATATTTTTATACTTTCTACAGAAAATTTATTTGAAAGGGGAAGGGGATGGGGATATGGTTCAGTGGCACAGCACCTGCCTGGTCCTGAGTTCAACTCCCAGTACCTATAGAAAAAAAAAGGGGGTGGGGAAACAAGATTTAGAAACTTACAGATCCCTATCATTTTGTTTTGAAACCCTGTATCATTTTTATTGTTTTTGTGTTGTTTTGTTTTTGTCTATATCGTTATTATTTTGTTATTTTTTAAGTCTCTTTAAAATAATAAAAAAAAGAAGCTTACAGATACACTCTAGCATAAATTCAGGGATTCTAGTCTTTTAAATTTGTGTGATCTTCCAATAATTTTAATTTTAATTTTGATACAGACTTATTTTCACTCACTATGCTAAACGAGGAAATTCAAAACCTTTTTTTAAAATAGCTTTCTAATCATTTATTGATGTCCAATCCTAACATGTAGGAAATTCCTCTGAAAGTAATTATAATTTGAATCTTCCAAATATTTAACCACTTAACAGTTTGCTCTGAGCATCATTTGGGTGGTACTTTATTTATGTACTGACTATCTGGAATGTCCCTTGGGCAGGTGTCATTTCCACCAGGCAGTTCTTATTTGCACAAGATATACTCATAGGTCTTTTTGTTTTATATCGACTATTTCTTGCATACTTTTTTATTTAGAACATTGTAGTCACCTTGGAAGTTTGTTTATAGTGAAATCTAATAGTTGTGGTTATTTCCCTTTACTAATTTATGTTTATTTGTGAAAATCTATAATTTTTTGCTACAACTTACAAAAACTCTTATCATAAGTACATTAGATCTAATTTGTATATTTCTCCAGAACTCAGTGATATTCTTTTATAATACAAAGTGGACAGATTTAGGACACTGAAACTGAATAAGAGGAAGTGCCAAAAGATCTGCAAAAGAAAAAACTGAAAATGGGAGAAATGTTAGCACAGCAGAGAAGAAAAGTCTGTTATGAAATAGAAAGAAAAAAGGCATCTCCTTATTGTCAACTATTCATAGCACAGAAATGACAGAACTTGAAAGAAGAAACAAAACTTAAAAAGTTCCAATACTGGTCAATGACTGTAAAACTTCTGGGGTGTGTTGACAGAGCTGACCAACATCTAACAAGCTGTCCTTTCTGAAGATGACTTAGAAGACACAGAACGCCCATGGATACCTTATTGATTTTTATGGCCTAAAGAGATGACTTTATTTCTTAGGCTTCTTTTCCACTCGTGTAAATCGGAAGATGGAGACCTCTTCCTTTTTGCTTCCGTAACGATCTCCGGCCGAGATCGCCGCCTCCCGAGCTTCCTCCTGTCCATCCTTCCCTCGTCCTGCTGAAGTCGCAGTTGTCGGTGCTGTCGCCTCAAGACCCCTCAGGCTGGGAGAGAGGAGCAAGAAACCCTCTAGCCCTTTTATTCTTGAGATCACCACAAACACCGGCAAAAGGCGTAGGCCACAGAGGAGGGACAAGAACTGGAAATTTACCCTCCAATGAGGCGCAGTAATTGCACTTGACTTGCAGCTTCTCTCATTTCACAGCATTCATCCACACTTGCCATTTAAATTTCTTTGAAATTTCCAGGAAATGCAGTCATCCAACCAAACATATATGCAAGTTCATGTCTTCTCCTCTCTCTCACGAGGCCACAGGTTTGCCCCTGGGCTTACAGAAGTGGCACCCTCTCAGCCACAACAAGGGTGTGAATCCTCTGGTCCAGGAAGGCTGCTGTGCTCCTCGTAGCAGCTTGGTGTGAGGGACCCTTCCCTCATGTGAATTGAACTTGTATCAGTAACATCAGACTGCGAATAATCACCTTAGAAGCTTTCTGAAGATTTTCGTTTGAAAATTCAGACCCAATTACAATCAGAAAGAAAAGGTGAAAGAGTAGTGGGTACATAAACTACTAACAAACCCCACTAAGCAAGTCATTGTATATGTTTTTAAAGACATTCTTATTGTGGGAAAGTATGTATTATACAAAGTTTAACACTTCAACCATGTTTAAGCATATAGCCCAATAGCATTAAGTATATCCACACTGTACAACAATCCCTACCAGCTATCTCTAGAACTCTTTTACTTCTGTAATGGAAACTCACAGGGTACCTTTTAAATGAATCCTGAAGTTGACAACACCACAGGCTGCACTTCAATTTGCAAGGCAGAAAGCCCAGGAGAATTGTGAAGATTATTTGTACAGGTATTGCTTAATGTGTCACTGCTCCCCAGTGTGGATTCACCTCAAAAGAATTTCTAAAGCTTGGGCTACTGTTCTGCTTGACTCTAAATCTAGTTTTAGGAACATTGCCCAATCAATTACTACCACTTCCTAGTAGGATTTTGCTGTTGTTCTTTCTCTCTACATTTTGCTCTGCAGATGAAACCAAAGTGTGTGTGTGTGCGTGAGCATGTGTGTGTGTGTGTATTTATATGTTCATCTAAGAATGCTACACAAGAACAAATGCCAAATTAAACCTCTCATTATTTTATTAGTACAGAAGTTGAGTTAGGAAATGAGATGGAAAAGAGCTTCCTTACCCCTGGGAGATTCTGTTTCTTACCCTTCTTGGAAACTGTGACCTTTGGGGAAAGGGTGCATAAAGCCACTGTGGGCACATCAGAGGCTAAATGTGGGTATATCAGGAAACTCGGGGCATGCAGCCTGATGTGCAGAGGACCCTTCAGAATGGCAGGTGTCATTAGCCTCAGTATTAGGCGGAGTGTTTGCTTCTTCCCATGCTTGTTTTTCAGAAAAAGCCCTTTGTTCCAGGAGAAGAAGACACTGTGTACTGCCAATGTACACTGATCTCTTCATGTGCATTCTGCCTCGTGAAGACAATCTGCCTGGCATGGATAAACCTGCCTGACAGGGAAGCTGCATGAAATGATAGGAGACACAGAAGGAAACAAACATGAGGCCAGGAACTCAACAGCAGAACTGAGGCAGTCAGAGGCAGAACAAATATCTGAACTGCCTGGAGACACAGTAATCACCCCCAGAACCCTTAGAAAGGCCTTCATCCATTCATCGAGCAAGTATGTCCTGATATCCTAGTCTCTACAAGGTAGAGTTAGGCTTTCAAGATTTACATTAGTTTCCTAGAGCTGCCATTACACAGTACCAAAACTAGTTAGCTAAAGGTCTGCAGGTCAGAAGTCTAAAGTCCACGCTACCTAAGCAGGCACGAGGGAAAGATCTTTTCCAAGCCTAGCTCCTAACTTCTGTTTGCCTTAAGCAGTCCGTGGCTTGTAGAGGCATCACCTCAATCTTGCCCCTTCACGGATGATCTCCATGTATGTCTTCATGTTGTTTCCCTCTGTGTATCTTATGCACTCTCTTTATGGAGATACTAGTCATATTGGAGTAGGGCCAACACTACTGATGTCATTTTAACTTGCTTAGCCCTGTAAAGACCTTCTTTCGAAATCTGCTCATACTCCTAAGTACTGGAGGTTACAAATTTAGCATAATTTTTTGGAGAATAACAGAGATGCCAGGATGGGATACAAAGTGTCACATAGAGGAATCTCACACAGTGACAATGATTTAGGAAAATAAAGCATTCACACCAGTGATGCTCAACACACTGGTACAGGTCATGGGATTATGAGAGTTGGTACTTGTTATTTTTATTGTTTTGGATTAATAAGAACCTTATCTTTTACACTACTTCCTTCTAGGCACAAAACCTTTTAGAGTAAGCAAAAAGACAAAAATCTTCAGATGGAATTCTCTTGGTTATGATTTCCCTCTTAACTGCTTAGCTGAGTAACAACATTCATGGCTTCTCCAATATTCATGTGTTCTTGAGAAGGAGGAAAAGAATCAAATTGCAAAAAATAATACAAAATATACAGTTCATAAGATTCATTTTTTAAAGTCTCTTTTATAGGAAAACTGTCCCCAACATTCTAAATATCACTAATCAATGAACAGCAAGATTTAAAACCCATATAAATAACTTCCAAACACATAGTAAATACATTTTTGTAAATGTTGAACAAAAGGTGATTCCTCTAAACAGGCACTGGCATATACTGAGAAATGGCAGCGATGTCAGTGCTGTGAAGAAATCCAAAGGATTCCAGAAGATATCGCCAATAGCAACACTCTGTGAGAGAACCCAGGATTCTTCAAGTCTAAAGCCTATGTTCCCAGGCTGGGGATTTAGCTCAGCGGCACAGCACCTGCCTGGCAAGTGCAAGGTCATGAGTTCGATTCCCGGTACTGGAAAAAAAAACCATAAAGCCTATGTTCCTGAATTTGCCATACATATAGAAACTACTCATTTATTAAGTTTTTAAATTTGCATATCTTTCAGAAATATGAGACTAAATCAGAGAAAAGTGAAACAATGATTTCAAACTACCAATGTAAAATAATGCAGAAGCAATGCTAAGTTTTCTTATTAAGCAAAATGACAAAATGAATCATTTATGACTTGTATTATTCTGAAATTCCTATATTATTAAAGAGAATAATAACAAGAGGGCTTTCAATGTTTTCTCTGAGATAGGGACCTCACTTTCACTTGGAATTTTTTTCAAAGAAATTCTTAAGATTCTGTTTATCATCAAATATATAGGTTGCAAATATTTCCCCTATGCTGTAAGTTGTCTCTTCACTTTACTAATGCATCCCTACCTTTATAGAAACTTTTAGGTTGATGTAATCCTATTTGTCTATTTTTGCTTCCATTGCCTGTGCTTTTGGGGTCTTATCCAAGGTATCTAACCCCCCATTTTGGTTATTACACAATATCAACAGGTCTTGAAACATCATATTTGCCACAATTATTATCAATTGAAAACATGTTTTTTCCAAAAAGTCTGAAGCAACGTTTAGAATTATTAGTAAGAAACATACCGAGATGTTTTCTTCTTGTCGATATTGCTTCCAGTTCCTCCCACTATCACTGAACATCAAGAGATAGCTGGTCACCCAGTCAAAGCTCCCGTATGCTCCTTGTGTTGCCACAGCAGTGACCTCCATTCGCTCTCCAAGGTCAATCTGCAGCCACTGGTATTTATTTGACACAAGTGGGGTCCAGCCACCAGCTCCTTTTATGGAACAGAAAGAGCAGAAAAATGATAAACTAGAAGAATTTTTAGCCTATCAGTTACTTGAATAGAAAGTTATAAGATTACAAATATAATTTAAAATTTACATACTAAATTTAAGAAAAAGAGATTCACATCAGAAAAAGAATTAAATGTATGGGGGACTGGGGATTTAGCTCAGCAGCACAGCACCTGCCTGGTGTTTGATTCCCTGTACCGGAAAAAAAAAAGAATTAAATGTAAGATTATGTGGAGATGGGTGGACCCTACCCTGCTTTCATATTTCTCTAGAGATGATCCTCTGTTATATGGAGGGTGGGTGTCACACTAGGCAGAGAAAGTGTTTGATGTCATGGCAGGCAGACAGTTCAGCATTCATGTCACTTTTTAGGATGAGTGGATTTAATAGCCCTGGGCAGGACACAAGAGATTAATTTCTATAGTAGGAAGTACAGTATTGAGCATTAAGTAAACAGAAATAGTCACAACATGGTCTGTGTACTTAAAATGCTTACAGTCACACAGGAGGAGCAGGGATTTAAAGGAATGATCTGAGGTCTAAGGAGAAAACTCAGCAGGAGTGTGTGATTCTCACATGTGAGGTCCCAAATTTGATCCCCAGTATTTCAAAATAACTAAATAAAATAGTTCAAAGAAGAGATTACTTTGTGAATCAACATCACTTGTGTGCATTTCAATTCTGAAGTGGATAAACAAATGGTTGTTACCAGGGATTGAGGGGTGTAGGTGGGAGGATAACAGAAAAAAAATCTTAAGAGCTAAAAAGTACAGAGTAACAAGGAATCAAGTGAATTCTAGGTGGGGCATGTCATGCCCTCTGTTCTGTCTGGACAGATTAGGAGGAGACTGAGCGAGAGTATCACAGAGTGTTGGTCTGTCTTGGATAATGAGAAGAACTATGTCATGTATTAAGAGGAGGATATAAAACAGAAATTTTGCACTTTTTGTTTTGACAAAGACAATATCAAAAACAAGAATGCAAGTAGGAATGGTGATATCTTATTGATGTTTGCTATTTTCCATTAATAATCAGTGCCTAGAAAAAATGAATATAAATAATTCTCAAGCTAAGGAGATTAGCACTTTCATTTTTTTCCTAATTTTGTCACTTACTTGATGGCTCTGATAGAAAGGTGTGAAAATCTAGAGAGTTTATTATTCATCAACTTATGTTGTGCGTCTTTTAATGAAGCATTACTATTTATAACTATGCCACAATTTGTGAAGTCTTCAGCACCAAATCCAATGTAAAGTAAATGTTTAAAAGGTTTCATATCATTATATCTAGGAGAAGTACTACACTGTAATATGTAAGATATCATGAGGGAAATGCAGAAAAATGTACTAACAGGCACCTCTTTGAAATGATGGGCACTCTATTATCTACTCTTTCCTTATGATTTCCACATTTACATATTCTTCACAATTCAGATTCTATGATTTTTTGCAGTCAGTCTTCATTCAAAAATATATTTCCTGATTGTACCCTAAGCACATCATTATTTGGATACAGATTTAAGTTACATGCACATTTTGTTCTGCTTGTTCTTATTCTATATTTTCACTTAATCTATTAGGCATGATAGTGAGCTATTGGTGACCCACACTTACCATCTGACTGACACTGAAAATTTCCAAACCTTTCCTAAATTAAAGACTAGGAGAAAGGGCAAGTTTTATTTGAAACTGGGTGGTCTTCTATATAAGGGTCAGATAAGCAACAATAACTCGGCCTCTCCAAGATTCAGAATGTGGATACTGGAAAACAACAACTTGGGGAAAGATAAAAAGCAGGGAGATAAACTTCTGAGAACCAGGAAGGATCTGTCTGGAAAACTGGAAATTACATAGAAACTCAAGAGACTGAATACAGTTTGAAAAAGGGAAGAAGTTCCTTCCTTGTGGCTTATAAGAAAGGAAGACTGGATCTACAGAGACAACATGAAAGCAGGGGACTCTAAAGGGCTTCCAGGAGGAATCCAGTGGTGGAATGGACCAGAAGATGCTGAGTGCTCTAACAGCCACCGAGTGACTGCAGTCCAAGCACCTACCATATCCCCTGGAGAAAGTGCCTTGTCAAATGTGATTCCAGGGAGGGGTCAACTGAACCCAGGACTCAGAGCAGCTATGGGTTAGCTTCATTTCAGGGTTCCTAGTGTTGCACTCCCACAGTGACTGGGTGAGGGACAGCCACAGGAGACTGCCACAGGGAGTCATGGTCAGGTTGGCAATAGAAGCCCCTAAAGAGTTTAAGCTAAAGGGCCCAGGCCCCACCCACACAGCTAGTACTAGCAGGTTCTATGGTATTTTAACATCTAATTTGTATTGGATGATACTATTGTCCCTAATTCTCTTTTTATTAATGGTGTCCTAAAATTGTTGCTGTTTTTCTATAAATGAACACTCAGATTACCTTTGTGACATTAATAACACTGAAGTACATTCCCAGAGAACTTGGTTAACTGACTAACTACACTGCATCTTTCCCTCCAAAATTAACCAAGATGGACAGATCTTAGGACTTTGGCAAAGGATTATTGTTAGCCAGGCCCAAAGTGCATCCCTGAAGAGTAAAGAGATCTCTATGCTAGCAACAAAGTCATTAGACTATAATCATCCACAAACCTCAGCACAAAACAAACAAAAACAATAGATATATGAGAAGATAAGGCAACAAAATGCCTCTGAAAATTCCCAACTCCTCCACAGCCATTCGAGGACACCAAGGGGCAGAATAGTATAAGCCACACACTCAAATTAGTCAAAAGGATAACAGAGGAGGTTAGAAAGCAGCTCAAAGAGGTATTCAGCAGAATTAGAGCAGATATAATTAAACAGATAATGGAGGTAATAACCAAAAGATCCAGGAGCTTCCAGGAGAAACAAATAAGAAGATAAATGAGCTAAACAAAATGGTACAAAATATGAATGAACAGTTTCCCAAAGAAATAAAATCCATGAAAAGGTTTCAGTCAAAACTCCAGGAGGCTAAAAATCATAATGAAAATATGGGCAGCAGAACGAACCAATGTGAGTACAGTGTCCTAGTAACTTTTCTCATTACTGATACAAAATACTCTACACCTGCAAGTTAAAGGAGGCAAGGTTTATTTCAGCTCACAGTTTGTAGGAGTTTCAATCTATAGTTAGCTGACTCCAAGTCAAGGTGGCACGGCAGAGGTACACCACGGGGGGAAAACAGTTCATGGTGTGCCAGACAAAAGCCAGCAAGCAGGAGCAGCAATCATCAGAAGTGAGCTTGCCTTTCCCTTTCATCCCAAACTCAAAATGAAAACATTTTGAGTAGTGCCATCCACACACAGGGTAGGATATCTCTCTTCAGTAAATCTATTCTGGCACACCAGAACTATGCAAATTCCAATCAGTGGGCCAGTTTATTACCATGCGCCCTTAATTTCAGCATCACACACCTTACATCCAGCCAGCTCCAAAAACTCCTTACCTATGAGTAAAGGAGGTTTTGGCGTGAATCTAGCTGTAAGCCACAAAGTACAAAATTTCAGAACTAGAAGACAGTGTTGCCTTCAAAAATTAACTATTCAAAGACACCTTAAAAACACCAAGAGAGGTGCCAGGGATACAGCTCAGCAGCATAGCGCCTGTCTGGCAAGCACGAGGTCCTGAGTTTGATTCCTGGTACCAAAAAGAAATAAAGAAAGAAAAAATAAAAAACAAAAGAGAACATGAAAAATGGATCCAACAACTGCTAGATAATGCAAAGAAGATTAATTAATAACTGAAATAAGTGAAAAATCAGAAGACAACATAAATGGCACACACAAGAATCATCTTCTAGCCCTGCATCATAGTTTTCAAGATGGGGGAAGATTTATTCTTGGATAAACTGCAGCAATATTCACTTTAGCTCCTGCTAGAGACACTGCCTAGATTTCTTCAACCCTCAGTGGAGATTGTACCCAGTATCCCCTCCCTTACCCATTCTTTCTAACTTCACTGTTCAGGAAGTAATGTATATCATCTACTCACTTCTATTCTTACTAAACTTAACAACTAAATTTTATTGAGCATTTGAGAACTTGGGGTCAGATAATCATGACTTCATATAGATTTTCCTTAATTCCAAGGACAGCCTTATAAGATAGGGCCTTATTACTACTTCCTGGTCTGGATCTTGAACAACTTATAAACATTTACACACCTAGCAAGGGACCTAAAAGATTTTAGATCCAGCATCTGTACTACTAGCTATTATTTTCATATAGTTTTGAAGCCATTGATGAGGGGTGGTGTTTTAAATAAATGTTCAAAGAATGCAACATAAATTTGGGAGTCATCAGGTATAGCTACAGTAGCAAGTATGCAGTAGTGTGATATTCCCTATTCCTGGTCAGGCTGTATGATGATACTTCAGTGAAGGTTCATCTCCTGAAATCTTCCTGTTGAAGTCTACCAGATCTACTGTTCTCTCCTCAGTCCATGTAAAATTCGATAAGTGAGAAATCTTTCCAAAGTCCATCTGACTAGCATTCGAGAGTTCAAGGTATGCAGATACTGAAACTACAAGACTTTTTATTATTTTTCATGATCTTTCAAATAAGAGTTGGAAAAAGAAAAGGAAAGCGATGGAAGCCAACTCATGACCCCAATATTCTACAGTGGAAATTTTATACACATAAATTTGTCTTAGGCACTTTCACATTGCTGAGACACAATACCTGACACCACAATTTAAAGGAATGGGGATTTATTTTGGCTCACAGTTTCAGAAATTTCAGTCCATGGTTAGTGTAGCAGTTTGGGATTTACAAGGGGAAACACCATAGGACACATAATTATAAGATTATTTTATAATAGTCACCCAAAGAGTCATATGCAAAAAGAGTGCAGGAAATCTGTCCACACACTAAGAACAAAAGAATCCAGCTGAGGGCCTGGATCCCACAGCAATGTCCTGCATGAGTCCAGCTGAAGACCAAGAGCCCATAACAATGCTCTCC